AGTGAGTGCTTGTAATGTAATATAAACTTTATATATAGCAATAAAGCTCAAATTGATTCTACGTTATAGTTAGAAAACGTTTGTATGAGAAAAAGAAAAAGGCTGTTTTTAGGGTTTCCGGGCAATTATTCGATTTTTTCTCGCCGTAAGAACCATCCTTGGACTTCAACGAACATTTAAAAAAAAAATTGGCCACCAAATTGGTCCAGGCGTTGTTGAGTTATTGCGCTTACCAACACATTTTGCGATTCATTTTGATACATAAGATATTGTGTGTGCAAAATCAAATGTTTAAACTTTTCTGATATTTTTTGATACACAAAAAAGTTCAATTCATCTAAGCAAAGAAAGAGATTTTAATAAACATTGCTAAAAAATAAACTTGCATCAAATCTGGTTTGTCATGAGAGAAGTATTTGAATTATGTTCTACGTATTCATACAGCGATACAAAATCAGATATGCTCACATTTATATTGGCATATGTTGCGCATAAACATATATTGACGTCAAATCGCAAATGATTTTTATTTCTTCATATTATATTAGAAGATATCCGAAGCTTTGGCATATCTTCGAATAAATAGTGTGTGTATGTGTAGACCACGGTTTCTAGAATACTGATCTATCCGCATCCAATTTTAACGTAGTAGTGAAAGAAACCATTGGCTATGGGAAAAGTCATACAGAATACATAATTTTTAGAATAATATAAATTAATGTGAATTTTTCATATGTTAATTTTTTTAAATTTACATTTAATAGTCACTGCAAACAAATAACATGAATAACTTTCGTAACATTTTTCAGTTACGTCCTTAAAATTTATTTGAATTAGTTTTTTTTTTATCAACCATTTACAACAGTGAGCACTATGAGTTTAAGAGAATTAAATCTTCTGTAAGATCATCTTACTAAGATGTATTGTTAATTTTAAGATAGATTCAACAGTTGTTTTGAATGACCTCTATAAAAGCTTACACCTAGGTGGGGTGTAATGTAACTAAACTTTTACCCGGCATAGATGTATAAAAAAAAATAAAAAATAGCAAATAATAAAGCAAAATTAAGTTAAATAAAGCAATTTTACAAGAGGTAAATTAAATGAATACATATTTTAACTCAGCTGATGAATATTCTAACGAAATATCAGATGAAGATTATTTATTGTATTATCTCTGTAAAAAATGCACTCATGAAACTTATATTTTGCATGGTTGAATAATGTAGCTATTATTTTGTAAATCCCATTAAAATTAAATATACATTGAACCTGTGTTTGCCACCTGGCCGTCCAATTTACCCCGCCAATAGGGTAAAAAAAAACAGCTTACAATATTTGAAAACCGCAAAAAATACATTTTTCTACTATGATGAAGTAGCTGGGACTTTTACTGAACATAGTCAGCTAATTGTTCGTTTAATATATGTTACTTGTGTTATAATGGTGGTATGGTTTTTACAATAATTGTTCAAATTCAAATTGGACCTTTGTGCCCCGCCCTACCCTAATACAACAAAAATAATAAAAATATACTTATTTAACAAAATAATTATTATATTATAAATTATTATATAATAAATTAAGTAATATAAAATAATAGTAAACAGCAACGAGAGAAGGTAACCGAACAATAAATTACAGTAATTACGAAACAGAAACACATGAGATTTTTTATTCTAGAGATATTATTATCTAAGATGTCTATGTGATTCTTGATATATAAGATGCTGGAAATTTTGAACTTGAATTATAGGCGAATTGCGAAATAGTAGAATCCGAAACAAATAATTACTTCTAGCATCATGCAAGAAACTATAAAATCTATTTTGGTAAATAATAACATTAAAATTTTACAATACTAGAATATTATATAGTTACAATTAGACGAATTTGAAGTGATTGCATGCTAAATAGTTTTAGTGATCATTATCGTAAAACAAAACATACAATTTAAATTTGTGATGGGCCAATTACTAAGGTAGAAATACGGTGGAACTATGTGATGGGTTTTTAAATTCTAATGATGGTTTAATAAAAAACAATATTGTATATAGGTCTTACATTTTATATTCTTATATACTATGTACATACAAAATATAATTTAATATAAAGGTATATATATGTATTGAAATAAAGCCAAGAGAGGGAAGGAGATATGTAAAAGAACATATAGTGGATTGCACTCGATGGTAGTAAACGTACTAGTACGAAGACTTACAAGCCCTACATTTTGACTTAAATATCTCTACTTATAAACAGGGTATTGCTTTTCAGACCTCTGATATTATATACATACATGTAGTGGAACATCGCCCAACTTGTATATATATATATATATATATATATATATACATATATTAACTTTAGATTTTTTTTGTTCGATATGAAACACATTCTGGAACTTTTATTTGCAACCAAATTGAAATAAAAAATCGATATAAAAAGCAAAATATAATTCATTTCTTAGTAATATAATATTAATAATATTCAATTCTTTATTATTAAAGCACGTTAACAAATTCAAACCAAAAAAAAGAACACACACCCAAATTTAAAAACATTGTTTTTGACAAAACAAATGTGTTTATAAAATAATAAACTAAAAGATAAATAATGAAATTATGTAGGTACTCACATGATTACTAAATTACAAATGATTATTCACAAATTAATTTAAAAGAGTATTTATATACAAAGTATACATTTTTTTTTATTTCCATAGAATTACAATCTGCTTGGTAGGCATTCAGTAATTTTGATGACAAATGTATAGATAAGATTTTAAATGCTACCCAGTAGTAGTAGTCATTTCAGATTTAAAAATTGATGAAATAAAAATTCTACTTTACATGTAATTTGCTAAATCTAAAGGCTTAGTTCTTTTGAGTCTTCTTTGAGTATATTTGATGAAAGTCAGTTTGTTCGGATGGTATTCAAGTCTAGTTTTGTACTTTAAGTAAGCATCTAATAGATGCATGTCCTCTGATCTCTTTTGATACCGTGAACATATTGAAGTCCTGAAGGATCAGCCAATTTGGGCATACTTAAGTATATAAATTTAATTGAAGAGTAATTTCAATTTGATAATTATGTGACTAACTACATAATTTTACTATTTATCTTTAGTTTATTATTTTATTTTATTGGTTTGTATTTGTTGTCGGCAACCGATTTGAATGATTCAAAAAATATTTCATTTATATTCATAGGGAGGCGCGTTGATTAGTTTTGGCAAAGGCAGATTCGATCGTTTCGAAGATATTGGGCAAAAAGCGCAAAAATGATAATTAACCTTCTGAGAGAACGGAGCGTCAGATTTGGATGATTTAAAAAACATTTATTTTTGGATGGTAGAATGAATAATTGATTAAATTTTGGGGAAAGCAGGTTCAGCGGTTTGGAGATCCCGAAAAAAGTAAAAAAAATGTCAAAATGTTTATTAGATATGTGCACATCAGATTACCAGATAGTTTATAGAGATTTTAAAAATAAATACAATATACAATATCTATTTAATTATTAATTTCTATTAAAATTAAAGTTCACTTATATAGTTCAAATAAAAGTTCTCGACATTTTGAATCAGGGATCGTTCAAGTATTACGTAAGCAGATTTATTACAATATTTACCCCCCCCCCTCCCCTTGTCAAAAAGTAAGCAAAAGTTCTTACCCAAAATAAGCAAAATAAGCAAATCAATAAGCCCCCCGCCCCCCTATAGTGCTTACGTGATACTTGAACGGCCCCTCAACCGACTTGAAGAGAATTTTTAAAAAAAATTAGAAAAATTCAAATTTTTGAAAAAAGTTTAATTTTTGCAAAAATTTCAACATTTACCAATAACTCTATTTTTCTTCAAAATTATTAAAAAATGTTAAGCTTCTAAAAGTTTTAAATTATGGAAAGTAAAGTTCGAGCAATTTTCCTTAATGCTACGCAAAAGTTTCTTTAATCGACTAATTGGGTTGCAAATATACATTTCAAGGATTTATATATTTACACATATACATATCATATTATATATATATATATATATATATATATATATATTGCCTTGATAGGAAAATTGTTTTTCTTTCGTTAGTTCAATTAACGTGTTTGAAGTATGCAATGACATCAACGTTTGATGACCGCATTGGTTTTCTTTTATGATGAAGAGTAATTAATTAACTTCCCGTAGGGCAAGTTATAGTAATCGCAAAAAATCGAAATGAAAATTTTTATATATCTTTACGTTTCATAGGTTTCTGAACATTTTGGCATACCTTAGAAAAAATGGATGTATGTGTGTGTGTGTTGTCTGTATGTATGTGCGGATACAAATTTTCGTCGACGATTTCGGGAACACGGATCAAACCGATTTGAATAATTCAAAAAGCATTCGATTCGTATTGATAAGGAGACGTGCTGGTTAGTTTTTGGCGAAGGCAGGTCCAGCCGTTCCAAAGATACGGGGCAAAAAGTGCCGAAAACGGTAACTCAGTTTTTAAGAGAACGGAGCGTCCGATTTTAATAATTCAAAAGACATTGGACTTGTATTGACAAGATGAAGAATTGATCACATTTTCATGAGGGCAGGTCTAGCGGTTTCGGAGATCTAACAAAAAAAGTAAAAAAAAATGCCATTTGGCAAATGATCATTAGACATATGCACATCAAATTATCAGATATTTTATAGAGATTTTAACAATAAGTATAAATTTTGTTTGCATTTCTATGGGTTCCGTACAAATATTATTTGTTAGACGGCGACGCGGCGCTTACGCGCTTTGACATTTTGTCTCTGTGCAGTTAATGCAATACGATTGCTTTGAAAAAAGTTCAGATCTTCCAAAATGCCAAAATAAAGAAAACATTATTTTTTTCAAAAAAAAATTAAAAAAAAAAAAAAAAATTAAAATTTTATTTAAAAAAAAAAAATTTTTTTCAAGAAAAAGTAATATTTTGTCCAATTTATAGTTTCTCAAAAATCCTATTTTTTCAAAGTACATTTTTTTCAAAAATATTAATCGTTTTTAAAAATTTAATAATTTTTGGTACGGGAAGTTTCAGCAATTTGCCTTAAGGCACGATGCCTTAATTGCCTTAACAGAATTCCACTTACAGCTAGTTTCGACTTGTAACTGTTACAACGAACAGTAGAAAACATAAGAACAGCAAAAAGTACCAATTAGTAAAAGTGGATGTTTTGAATTTTTGCAAAAATATGAATAATCCGTAAATGTAACATTCTCAGGGGTCACCGTTGTAATATGAGTTTAATACGGCCGTTACAAGTTATCGTCGTATCAGAATAGTGCTTGAAGAAGATATTCCATCTCGGTACGGGAACGGCGTTGGTCAATTGCGCTGAACGCTGAACGCTGAACGGCAGCAAGACCCGCGGTGCTTGCTGATGTGTTTGCGTGTCAAAAACGTGAACTACGGTAGATCCCACTACTCCCACGATTCGAGTTACGATCAACGAATGCCGACTGCCATTACTGAGTGCATTGTCGGTATTGTCGGCAGCGAGCGGCTTTTAGATGTAAGCTCTCACCCGGGTTCACACGGACGTCTACGGGCGTATTTGTGTAAGTTTTCCAGACAAAGGTTAGATACGACTCCGCCGGCGACTCCAGGCACCAGATTCAGTCGCACGTGTTGAGAGCACAAAGAATGGTGCACTCGACTTGACTGAAATCAACTCGACGTTTTTTGGTTTTAACGCACATTGTAATTCTGTTATCGCGCCAGAATTACTTTATACGATAACTAGTGCGCAATTGGGCATTAGCGAAAAATAATTTTGCGCTAACAACGTTGTCACATTATAAACTTTTCCAAATCAAAATTTAGGAATCATGACATGTTTATTTTTAATATGCAATGTGTTGAACTATCGTTAAAAATTGATAATGACATGAAAAAAGTGAGGAATTGTGTTACTCAATATGACTATTAAAATCGGATAACATCAAGTGAATCAAAATTGTGCAAAATTGACACTTTATATAATGGAATCAAATATTCGTGATTCCTACTTCAAAATTTGAAAGTATTTTTTTATGTCATTTGTAAACAGTGTTAGTTCCCAGTATCTTCGATCACAATGATAAAGAATTTTCAACAATATAGGCTAATCTTTGTTTAAGATCCAAAATAAATGAACTCAATATGCGTACTGAACTGAATTGCCAAATCATCTTTGTCACTGATTAGATCAATCAAATGCATTCGAATACACTATTTGCAATAATGATTTAAAAATCATCATTTTTCTGAATTAAGTAAAGGAGGACTTTTAATTAGAATAAAAATAAATGACAAAAAGATAAAAGAATTATATCACGAACAATCCACATTGATCAATGTATGGTTCCTATTGATCAGAGCAGAAATGTTTACACGGTGAGTATTGACAATATTAATTATTGTTATAATTATATGCTTAATATATATGGAGGGCAATTAATATACATATGATTATATTTTTGCTAGTTCAATTGTGTTTTATAACATTAGGGTAGTATATATATATACCTATTAATATATATTATATTATATTATTATATTAATTATTATTATTAATATTATTATTATATATACTATTTAATCATATATTATTATGATATTATATATATATATATATATATATATATATTATTATATATTATATATTATTATTATATATATTATTATTATTATATATATTATTATTTTTATTATATATATATTTATATATACTTATACATAGAATGAATTCTATGCCAGCAATTAAATCTTTTAATATATTTTCCTAGGTATGTAAGTAATATAAAATAATTATGACGTGATTGATGATATGCGTGTTGTGCAATTGAAAAAGAAAATGCGAAAAAATTCATTATTATTATACAAAAGTAATACTCAAAATATTTACAGAATTGTCTATACACAGCGTTATATAAAGCTTTACAATTTGATGGAAACATGACCTTTCACATCGGGTATGACAGTGAGGTAAAAGTGTATATACATTTGTACTATTTTTTTCTTCTAATATTTGAATTCTATTTGAAACAGAAGTCAATTCGATTTACACGGTTATTGAAATATTTTTTTACTATTTTAACAATAAAATAGTATTTTATATTTCTTTTATTTTAATTAATTATTATTTTAAAAATGAATCTTTAGGAGATTTTCGATTATAGATCTACGCTTAGTATTTATGTGTCACAACGAGATAATTTATCACCTACAAGTAAAAAGGTTCTGCAAGTAAATAATTCTCATAATAATATGAAAATAGAACTTGAAAAGCATATTGTTTTGTTTAAGCGATATTAATAGAAAAAGTTTGACCATAAAATGGCATATTACTGAGGTATAATCGAAATAAAGAAGAAGTCTCTGAAAATTGGAAAAATTCCCATATCAATTACATACCAAAGCGGCTCTGTCAGACTAGCAAAGCTTTGAAGGTAAGCGTAGTGGGGGGCATTGAGAGCGGTTGGAAACAAAACTGAATATAGATTTATTATTGAAAGTTGCAATTGTGATAGCAACAATATTGTATTTTGAATAATAGTCGATACTTAAGGAAAATTAATTAAGTATTTAGATAATTTATTAACAAGCAATGCGCATCTATGCATCACAAAGCATAAACAAATAGTAGGTACCTAAAACAACAATGTACGAAATATGATTAATGATCTTACATGTCATTCACGTATCAGTACCTATAGTTTTAATTACCCATACTTCGGAAAACGTTTACTTACGTCCAACAATTAAAGCTTTGTGTTCCAATAGATTGTACATCTAAAAATTAGAAGGCATAAACTAGACGTAGTAAATGATAGTCATAAATTGAAGTTAATAATGTGTTTCGCATGTATTTGAACATTGTACAGAGTATTGGGTAAATAACGTAACAGAGGTTGAAATGAAGTTCAATGTGGTATCATTTCATGTAATAACAGTTATTTACAAGAACGATATTCCATCCCTCAGATGGGAATGGAGAGTTGATAAGGAATCCCGCGCAGAATTATAATATATATATATATATATAT